ACCCAGTGAGAGGAGAATTGAGAAATCAACTACTGCTCCCACAGCAACATGGGTGAATCCTAAACCATAATGGGGAGTAAAGAAAACAAATTGCAGGAAACTACATTCAGTTCAAAGCCATTTTTATAAAGCTCCCTCCCAAAGTAAAACTAAACAGTATTGTTTTAAGTATTCATATGTTTATGATAGAACTATTTACAAAAGGCCAAAATGTGATAAACCAAGATTCTTGATATGCTGGAGGGGACAGGAGTTGGTTAGAGGTGGCACTCACAGGGAGATTCCACCAGTGAACATGTGTTGCTGGCCCAGGGGTGCCAGGCGCTATTCAGGGTGTGCGGGGCAGGGATGCAGGGGCAGCAAGACAGACATGAACCCCAGACCTCATTGCGCTTACAGTCTCACAAGGCACATTTAATTCCTGTTCTTGTATCGTGTGGTAGGTCACCAGTGTCCATTATATGATTATACATCGTCACAAATATTCCTTTACATTAATCAAATATTATATTTAAAGAGAGAAATAAGGAATAAACACAAAGTTAATTGACCTCTTCCACCAAAAAATATCCCACCAAGTGGGTGAACTATGGAGGCTGAACACCTCTCCCTGCCTCCTCTCACTGATACTCCATCACATTCATCCAGGAGGAGTCCCAACCCCTGGACCCGATCCCTCCTCCAATCTCCAGTCCCAGCTGAATGTCCCACAAGGTGATTCTCTCACTCATCAGCAGGCAAAGGTCAAATTTGGCTTGGAGTGCCAGGTTGGTAGAAGGGGCAGGAAACCCAACCTCTGGGAGAGCTAGAGCCAGTGGGGGAGATGAAATGCAATAGAGAGACATGCAGAGCCTAGGAAAGATCCCTCTTCCTGGCCCAGGACTCTCGCACTATGTTAATAGAGGTGGAGGCTGCAGAAGATTGGAAGTAACGGTCTGCTCTGTCTCAAACTCTTCATCTTTACCTGAGGGGCTCAGTCTGCCATCCATCCATCCATCCATCCAACCACACATTATATAATGGACACTGGTGACCTACCACACAACACAAGAACAGCAACAAAGTGTGCCTTGCGAGACTGTAAGCTCCACAAGGCCAGGAGTTCATGTCTGTCTGGCTCATGCCTGCATCCCTTGCCTGCCCCCCACAACTTCCCTGTTCAGCTGTCTGGGGTCAGGGCCGGTCTAGCCACCTCCACCCTATGGCCTGGTGCATGGTAGATACTTACTGAGGAGGTATCCTGCCTCTCTGTCACTGCTTTCAGCAGAAAAGGATGCACCTCCAGGCCCTCACATGTACTGTTCCCTCTGCCTGGGACAGTGTACCGACCACCTGGCTCAGCCTAAGGGTCATTGCCTCTGGGAGGCCTTCCAGGACCACCACAGGCAGGCCAAGCCCCTCTCTTCACACCTCCCCCAACACCACAAGCTGTACCCTGCTCATCTTTGTCTAGGTCCCTCTTGCCTTCTGAGTTGGGGGACTCCCCCAGGGCAGACCCAGGACCCCCAGCATCCCCAGGGCCCAAGGGAGGGCTCTCAGCTTCATCTTCTCAGCCATTCCGACTCCTGAATAGTCTGGCAATTTTCCCTGGAGGAACCAGGCAGAAGGGGGAGGTCAACCACTTCATCAGGCCCCACACCTCTTGGACCCTCTTTCTGGGTCCTTGCCCCTCCCCTAGTAGCCCACCCATATTCCCTGAGCACCACCGGGACTTCAGGCATCCATCTCTTCTGTTCCAGAGCTGCCTTCAACAGGAGAGGTAGTAGGTGGGAAGGGTCTGGGCAGGGGAAGAGGGGCTACAGGAAGATCCCTGAGAGAACCCTCCCCCCTGCTCTCTATGTCCACAGCCTATGATGGATGCAGGGTGGGAGGTGGGGGATACGGCAGTGGTTAGTCTTCAGTCCAAATCCAGGTCACTCCCGGCCTGCTCAGCAGACGTCAGTAATTAGGGGCCAGCAGGACATAGGCAGGCGGGTGGCAGGAGGCCTAATTGTCTGATTTTTCAGGTAATTAATGGGAGGCTGTCTGGCCTGTCCCCACGGGGCCCAGCATCCGCCACCCCATCCCCTGGGCAGCCCCAGCCGCCTAATGAGGCCAATTACTGAGTGGTTCCTGGGCCCTCATTAGCCACCTGGAAAGGTCATGTGGGAATGGCACCGGTGTTGGGGCTCCGCCAGCCTTGGTGGCCACTGGGAGCCCCCAGATATCAGGATGCAGGATGTGCTGGCCATAGGTCTTTGCTGCTGCCCACTGAGGGGTAGTCTGCTCACACCTGGGACCCCACTTCTTGCCTCTCAGGACTGTAGCTTTAGATCAAATCCTCCCCCGCCACTTCCCAGCCATGTGGCTTTGGGCATGTCACTCCCCTGTCCGACCCTCTGTTTCCTGAATCGGAGATGGTGGGTGTAAAGTACCTGATGCACAGTAGGTTCCCAGGGTACTGGTGCTCACCTTCTTCCAACGGGGTTAACTCCTTTACTTCACTCTTGAGGAATGGGAGGCCCAGAGCAGGTAGGGCCTGAGGTCACCGGTGTGTCCAGAGCCCACTCTGCAGGGCCTCTGGTGGCTAATTCACCCCTGGGACCTCAGCAGCTGGGTGAGGAGTCCTGGGAAGGATCATAGAGGCGATCTAGCCGGGGAGGAGGGCCCAGGAGCAGCTGGACCTTCCAGACACCTGAGCAGAGTGACAGTGGGGAAGCAGGAGATCTCCAGGATATGTGGGGCTTTGGAGATCGCGATGGAGCTGGAGGCCCTCCACCTCGCTGGATGCTGCAGGACACCCAGGGAAAGCTGAGGGGCACATGGCAGTGCCCAGCCTGCTGCCCAAGGCAGGGATCCATCCTTTCTTGGTTGGTCCACACCATTCTTGGCCCAGGAGATCACTGTGCCTTCAGATGTTGAGTTTTTTTGGCTTCTGTAGCTCCTCTGTTTTAAGAATTCAGTGACCTAATTCCATGCTGACAAATTCCATGCTGTTCTGCCTCCTGTAATCGTCAGCTAATGCTACTTTTGGTCCTACTGCCAGCCCAGAATCTAGGCCAAGGGTTTCCAAACTGTGTCCCCCAGGAGCCCTGGGGTGAGAGCGGAAGGAGGAGGCTAAGGACCCTCCAATTGGAACAACTGGGCTTTGATCTTTTGATAAATTATTAGTAGCTACTCCTTCGTAAGCTTTTGCTGTGTGCTAGGCATGCTCAGGGACTCTGCCTCCACGATTGCATTTTTGTCCTCATAAAACCCCATGAGGAAGATTGCATCACATCCCCATTTTACAGATGAGGCTGCTAACACTGTTGGAGGCTGAGGCTCAGCAGCATGCCCCAGGGCTCACAGCCTGTAGGAAGGAGAGCCGGAACTTGGACCGTTTCCACTCTGAGCCACATGGGTTCTGCAGCTAGAAAGGAAACTAGGTGCAGGAGTTGGGGGGAGTGTCACGTTTATCATGATTTGTTTCCTCCAGGTCGGAGTGGGTGAGAGCGCCTACCTCTGCCCCAGGAGAGCGTGGCCCCAGTCCCAGGTCACCACGTGGTTGGTGTCTGTGCGTCTATCTGTCTGTATGTGTTTCCCATCCCTCTGCTATGGGCTCTGCTTCCCTGCGGTCCAAACCAACAGGATCCAGCTCAGAAATAGCATATGTTTCCAGCCTCTGCTAGTCCAAGTCATAAATCGCCTGGTGTGATGTGCTTCTTGTGTCAACTTGCTTCAGAACTCAGGGTGGGGGTGGCTGAATGAGTGTGAGGAGCACGCAGGGCCTCCTCCAGGCTGAGAAGCTGAGAGCTGGGGGCCAGGGTGAGCCAGGGAGGGAAGTGGGGACCAGTCCTTGCTAGGCCTAGGGCTGGTTTGGGGGCTCAGCCAGGGGTGGGAGCCAGCGGGTGGTGGCCCGGATTCAACCTGGGCCTAAGGGTTGAAACTTAAACTGGAGCTGAGGTTGGAGACCAGAGGGCTGGGCTTCAGTCTTGTCCAGCGATCAGTGGTCCAGACTTGGCATGGAGTCAGGGGTCAGAGGGCAGGGGCCATCGTTCAGCACTTGATGAGGATGGAGAGCTAAGCTCAGCCTGGGGTAAGGGGCAGGACTCAGGCTGAGGTAGGGCCAGAGGTCGAGGTCAGGGTCAGCCCTCAGCTGACAGAGGAGGAAGTCCCCAAAGACTCAGAAGCCTTCCTGTATCCTGGAAATGACCTGGGGGCAGGACCAGTGACGGAGGACCTACAATAAATAGGATCAGAGCTTCCAGGGATTGACCATGACTGAAAAGGACTGGGCGTAGATCTTCTATCCAAAACCATGAGAGCAGGACTAAGGGTCTCCAGCGCCAGCTTCCTGCCCTTAAGATGGGATTCTCAGTCGCTCATCTCTAAAACATGGATGATCGTGGCACCCACCTCCATGTTGATCATGCTCTGTCAGTGTTGCCATCCCTCCCTACGAGAGTGTGAGCCCTGGGATGGGGGTAGGTGGGCTAACAGAGAGAGGATGAGCGGATGGGGCAGGTATGTGAGATGCCTTGTGGCATGGGAGGGTGCTTCAGGGGAAGAACTGTGCTGAGGCCCTAGGTGTCCAGTCATCACCCAGGTCCCCATCACTCCCCAGGCTACCCCTGAGAGGTGGCTCTGCAGCCCCTCAGGCCTCAGCTGCCCCACCTGAGCCGTGTGCAGGCAGCACCATCCCAGGCACCTTTTCCAGGCCTCCACTCCGCCAGCTGCATTTTCCCGCCTCTTCTCCGTTCTAGGCCCAGCACGGACAGATATTTGGGGACCAGCCCACATGGCAGCCAGTGAGGGAGCTGGGGTGGAGTAGGCAAGCAGGAATGAGAGGCCAGCGGGCAGAGGAGATGGGTGCCAAGGAGGAAGCCTTATCACAGGCCTCTCTGTTCTCATCTCCCACGGAGCCTGGTCAAGGACCAGCCTCAGCCGTTCCCCTACTGCTGGAGCTCTGACCCCAGAGGTCTCCCCCCCACCATAGGAGAGGACAGGGAGGTTCAACCAAGGAGGGAACCAGGTATGTATGAGTGGGTGGGGGCTGGAGGCCGTTGAGAGTACCCCTGGGGGGCAGGAATAGGGGGAGCGAGTGGAGGACATGTGGATGACAAGAGGGCTGCCCTGTCCGCCCAGGATGTGAGGCCTCTAGGGTTTGGCTGTGAAAGTCCCGGTCACCTCCTCCAGCCGAGCTATTAATACCCAGCTACGACCCACGCACCCTCGCTGGGAGGACGCCGAGTTCCTTGGGGGCTAAAAACGGTCTGAGATGGGGATGGGCCTTGGTGTTCTCCCTCTCTTCTTGTCAGAGGAACTGGGGCCAAAGGCCAGGCTGGCCTGCAAGGGGGCCGGAGCCAGGGTGGGGAGACAGAGGGTGACTGAGCCCTGGGGATGGCCTGAGGATTCCAGGCTGGGTCAAGAAGGCACCCAGCAGTCCAGTCCCCACTGCTCAGAGACCGAGGGCAAGGGCAGAGGTCTTGCCAGTGGTCTCACCCAGGAGGGGCCCACCACCTAGCTCTCCTGGCTCCTTGCCTTCACCCAGGCATTCCCCTTCCCCTCAGACCTCAGCTTGGCCTGCCCAGGCTGCCATGAGGCTGGAGGCCGAGGGCTGCCTGTCTCCTCCTGCCAGGAGGATCCTAGAAGGGAAAGGGGGCTTGGGGGTGGTGCAGGGAGGCCTGGAGCCTCTGGTGGGATCTGAGCCAGCCGCCTGAAACAGAGCCATCCACATTTCAGCTTCATGTGTGAAATCTTGATCATTCACAGCACTCTCTGAGGGGGAAATTACAGGCAGCACCATTTTATAGCTGAAGAAACTGAGGCTTGGTCATCTCCCCAGAGCCTGAGCTGGATAGACCCAGTTTGTTAGACTCCAACCCCTACTTTGTGTTGCTTCCTGTTACATCATTACAAAGGGAGGTTTCTTGGTTTGTTTGGAGAACCCATGAAACAAGTGTTTTCATCAAAATGTCCTGATCACCATATTGTCCTAGGCCCAGCAGGGTGGCTGGACCAAGAACGGGGGGCCTGCAGGGGCACCTTTCTCCTGCACTGGTCAGCCCCAGTCCCAGGGATCAGCAGCCACTTTCCCCTCCTTCCTGGGGCTCAAGGGCACATCCTAGGAAGCTGTGCTGGGCTTCTGGGCTCAGGGCCACCCAAGGCCACCTGCTCCCGGCTGTGTCACCCTCCCTTCCCATGACAGATGCTCCAGGATCCAGACACAGACCCCAGAAGAGCCCAGACTTGGCTGGCAGAGTCCAGACGAGAATGTGGCTGAGAGGTGTCAGCCCCAGAGGCCCCGGGAGCCGGAAATCCCGACAGCTGCCTGGCTCACGGGTCCTGGGCATTGGGCCCTGACCCAGGGCGGGCAGTGGCCGTGTCAGGTGTCCAGAGGAGTTGGGGGAGGTGATGGCTGGAGCTAGGGGCAGTCTGCCTGTGGTTAGCAAGGCTGTCGACACCTCCCAGGCTGCCAAGGCAGAGCAGGCGAGGAGCCTGGGGGAGGGGTCCTACCTTGGCCTGGAAGGTCTGAGGGGAGAGACAGGTCTTGTCTTGAAGATCTGGGGTAAGAAGAACAGTCTTTCCTAAGCTGAGAGACCTGGCCTGGCTGAGAAATTTGAAGACGGGGACAGACTCCTAGCCTTGAGGGCTGGTAGAGGGGGTATGTTCCTAATAGGGTGTGAGGGTTGTCCCATCTTGACCACAGGGAAGGCTACCCATACCCTGGGCTTGGGGAGGGGAAGCTCTGAACCTGTCTCCCACCAGTTCCCCCCTCAGCTGGGAGGCGGGTGGCTCTGCAGGACAAGACAGGAGGCCTCCAGCCTCAGGCCGACCACACCAACAGCCCCAGGGTTTCACTTCTCTATGGAGAAAAGGAGAGGCCTAGTCCTGCCTGGATTTTCCTCAGTCTCTGGGGAGGGTCTCTGCCTCTGTGCTGGTGGAGGGGGTGGGCAGGCTAACCTCAGCCGGTTCCAGAGGAGCCCTTCTGGGATGGGCCCCACTGCCCACCTGACCCATGCCCCCTCAGTTCTCCTCATGCCCACATGCTCAACTCCCCTGGAGCCACCTCCCGAGGCAGTCTTCCTGGATTGCTAGAGATCAGGAGGCACAGGCTCCCAACCCCCATACCAGGCCTGAAGGGCCCATGGCTGCCCTATCTCCTTGAGGGCCCGGCTGGCAGAGCCTAACCTTGTAGGGCTTTGGGCTGCCATCTCTCTTCTCCCACTTTCCTTTCAATGTGCCCTCCTTCCTGGCTTTCCTAGACTTTCCAAACCAGCCCCTGGGCCACACCAGGTCTGGGGTCCTCTACCATCTCCGCTGTCCCGCTTGCCCAGTCTGGGGCTCAGTCCCCATGCCCTGCACCTCTGTCTTTTCTTTCTGGGTTTATCTTTGTCCTCTGGCCTCTGACTCAGACCTGACCCTATCTCTCTGTTTCAGTCTCCATCTCTGCCCCCTCTCCATCTCTGTCTGACTCCCTCACCCAGTCTCAGACATCTCAGCCTTTCTGTCACTGTTGCTCTAGGACCTGATCCCGGCAGTGTCTCCTCTCCCCACCTGGCCGGGGCACCAGCTCAGACATCTGCTCTGACGTCTGCTCACTGGGCCCCATAAAGAGCTCAGACAACACTTGTGGTCTCAACTCTGGCCCAGCTCCAGGGGAACTGCTGTGATTCCTCGAAGGTGGGTGAGAAGGAGAGACAAGCCAGAGGGCCATGGGCTGGCCTTTCCCTTGGAGGCCTAGTGGTCCAGGGCCTCCCTCTGTTCAGGCCACAGCTCCCGGCACCACAGGCTGCACGTTTCTCCCCACCACTGAGGTCTCTGGGTTCCTGCGCAAGTTCTGAACTTTAATTTCCTCTTTTCCAGAGTGGGGCCCATAGGGCTACTTCAGCAGGTGTCAGAGGATGAAATGTCCATGCACTTGGCACTTTGCCCAGCACTTAGTAGTGCTCAATAGAGACCCCATGACTGTTCCTGTGACTGTCATTCCCCAGGGTCCCCAGAGCCAAGGTGGGTGGAGTGGGGGATGGGCTGAGCCCCTGCTGCTTGAAGTGCCCCATGTCCACCCCGAGTCCCACGCCCCTCCCTTCCTCTGTTGGACGGAAGACATCTCCCCACACCTGGGACCTTCCCATCCTCAGAGTCTGTCTGAATTGCACACTGGTGCTCACCAAATTAATTACTGCTGGCTTGGGAATATGTTTTTTTAAGAAGACATTTTTTCCAGGGGGAAAAACACGCAGGAGCTATAATTAGTCAGGAAGAGGAAAGAAGAGTGGAGCGTGTGAATCACCAGCCCCGGTGACAGACGGCAGAGCCGAGCAGAAGTTTAGGGAGAAGCTGCTGGGATGTGGGTGAGTTGAGGATGGGGTGCAGCCCCCAAGCAGGCTGGGGTCCTGGAACACCAGGCATGTTCAGCGAGGGGGACTGTACCTGGCACCCTGAAGTCTTTATGCCCTCCCACCAAGACTTGGTCACCCATCACCCTATCAAGGTCCCAGCGTCAGCTCCGCTGCCACTCCTGCCAGCCCTGACCGTCCCTGGGGCTTCTGCCTACCTCATCCCAAGGCCAATGCCAGTCCCTGCCGACATGTACCTGGGCAGAGAGCCATGCAGCTTGAATGAGGAGAAGAAACTCTAGAAGGTTTGAGTTGTCAGGGTTTGCAAAACTTCTAGACCAGCCTCTCATTCATTCATTTACATGTTCATCAAACACTGGAATGCTTCCATCTGCTTGGTCCACAGATAAGCAAACTGAGGCCCAGAGAAGTGCCGCTCCTGGGCCAAGGCCACACAGCTGGGAGTAGAGCAGCCTCTCTGCCTGTCCTGTCATACTAGCTCTGCCCAGCTAGACCCTGGGCAGGGATCTGGGCCACCAAGATGACCATGACCAGGCCCCACTCCAACTGGGCCCATTGCCCATATTCTGATAGCAGAGGCAGCCAGGCATCTATAGGGCAGAACACCTAGTGCCATGAAATGAAAAGTCAGCATGGTGGGAGCCCGAAGGTGGCTCTTGATCCAGCCTGGTGGTCACAGAGGGCTTCACAGAGGAGGAGGTGAAAGATGTTCAAAGGATGGAAATGACATGATAGCCCATCATGCCAGAGCAATGTTAAGGGACTCTGTGGCTGGGTTCAGGGAGCAGCAGGAGTGGGGGAGTTTCTGGGGAATGCGGCTTCTGGGCCAGGTGCCCATTTCCCCCGTGTTTCTCCTGAGCAGTTGGCTGGGGTACTCTGGGACCCTGGTCCTTGGGGACTTTCCACTGGTTTTTTTTGATGTCTGAGACACACTGACCGAGGTAACCCCTGTCTGGGCAGTCAGTGGCCCAGGGGACTAGACCTCAGGTTTCTCTCTCTTCCTTTCCTCTGGCTGAGGGCTGGCTACTCTGTGTTCTAGGGGTATTAGCCTGGGCCTCAGGGAGACGCTGGAGCAGTGTAGCCTGTGCCTGAGAGCAGAGGCCCCAGCTCCCCAGGGAGAGGACACTTCCTCCTCTGGGAGGGGATAGCATCGCTCAGTACACAGAGAGCTCCCTTCTAACCCCAGACCAAATTAGCCTTCCAAATTACAGGCTGCACGCCCTCCAAATTGGGGACTGGGTGGGAGAACAGAGGCCCAGCTCTCCTTCCTGCTTCCTGCTCATGGAGGGCTCTCAGCTGGTCTATCTAAATAACAGGACCACATTAGGAAAGAATTCTGGGCACACACACCCTCCCACCCCAGGTTGCAGGGATCCCCAAGTCCCAGGCCCCAGACCTGTATCTAGGCTCAGGGCAAGGCTGTGCCCTTTTGGGCTTTTACAATGGGCTTGGAACTAGAACATCTAGTCAGCGCCAGCTTAGGGTTCTGAGAGCATTAAGGGGGACATTAATTCATTCATCAAACACTTTCTAGGCACATTTTCTGTGCCAGGCATTGTGCTGGGCCCTGAGACACTGAGTGGCAATGGAAGTAACAGACATGTGAGAAGGAAGGTATGTGTCAGAATGAACAGGCTTGTGACAGGGGGTGTACAAGTGGCCGTGAAAACCTCTGATTAGGTCAAGGAGAGCTTCCTGGAGGAGGGGGTATACAAGCTGAGTTCCAAAGGATGCATGTACCCTTAGCCAAGATAAGAGAGGGGAAAAGAGTTCAGGGAGGAAGGAACATTAAGTGCAAAGGCCAGGAGCAGAGAGTGAGGAAGTGGGCATGAAGAAGTGGGTGGAGGCCCTGGTTTGTTCAGATCCAGGGCCCTGTCAGCCATGCTGGGGGTGGGGGTGGGTTTCATCAGAAGTACAAGAGAAGAGGAAGCCAGTTATCTGGGGACTAGAGGAGGATGGGTGTGTGTCTGCAGGGACAAAACTGGACCCTGGCCCCAACCCGAGGGCTCCTGGTAGGTATTAAGGGGCACAGGGGCAGAGGAGGGGGTCCTGGGACCTCCCACTCTGGCCTCCCTCAGACCCCTTCCAGACAGCCTCAGGCCTTTGGAGAAGCAATCCAGTTTACCACAAGGAGCCTGATGGTATTTCTTGGTGTCCTGAAATTAAGGTGACTTCCTATATTTTCTCTAATTGGTTTGGGACTTTTCATGTTTTTTGTTTTAGAAGAAAATGTTTATGGATGTTGAGAATAAATACAATTCTTGTGTGGTGCTTGGAGGGCAGAGAATGAAAGAGAAACACCTCCTAAGCTCATCCACTATTGTGTCATGGAAGAGGCAAGTGAGATGGGGATGGAGGGGCGATGAGACCACACAGGAGCCGTGATCGTCCTCCAGGAGCAGGAGGGGTGGCTTTTAGGGGTCAGTAGAGAGAGGATGCTGGGTAGGGGATTCTTACAGAGTGAAGGAGGGGACCTGGAAGTTCCACCAGCTTCTGGTCTTGTTTGCACACCTCCTGGGACAGAGAGCTCACTGATTCCCTGGCTGCCTGTGGTGAATTGGCCCAGCTGTAGCTGGTGAGCAGTGCCTCCTGAGTAGGAGGCACTGCTCTCCTCCAGTCCCACCCAAGTTTCTCTGCATCCTAATCTCTACCCTACCTTTGACTTCTTGTCTTGCCTCCACTGCCTGAGGTGAGGTTGAAGCCAAGGTAGACTCCGTGAGCAGGGCCCTGGGCTTCTGCAGGCTGCATGGCTCTGGATCTGATCTGGCCCCAGTAGATGGTGCCTGCAATTCTGAGCCTGATGGCTGGGAGGGCTTCCGGACCAGAGCTTCCCCGGCTGGCGGCCAGTGTGGGAGCATGAGGAAAGGCACGGAGTCTGCTTCCTGGATGCCCGACCTGCTGTCCAGCACGTCCTGCAGGGCCCGGCCCAGCTCAGCTGAGGACGTGAGCCAGTGGGTAGAGGCAGGGTCTGACGGACAGTTCCCCGGGCATCTATGGGCAGACGGGTGGGGCACCGGGTCAGTGGGATCCCTCACTCAGCAGGCTTCTGTTTGACCCCTGCTGTATGTCTGGCCTGTGATGGCTTCTGGGCCCTCAGAAATGAATGAGATACAGACTCTCCCTTGTCCCTGAGAGCCTGCAGTCTGGACAAGCATGGAGGAGATGACAGAGAACAATGAAAAACTGCATCCCTGGCTCTACTGGCAAAATCAGCTCCAGACTTTGGGGAGTGAAATTCTCCATAACCCTCTTCCACACCGCAGCTGGAGAGGGATCTCTCGAAGTCGCCTCTGGCCTCCTGCTCCTTCTGCTTGACCTGCCATGGCTCCCCATTGCTTGCCCCCAGAGGCCCTGTGTGCTCTGGTCCAGCCTCTCCCTGGAACTGGACTCCCTCCTCCACTCAACTGCAACCAACTGTCAGGCTTTTGCGGTCTCTCCGGCCCTCTGGCCTTTGCCCAGGTTCTTCTCTGTGTCTGGAAAGTGTCCCTTTCCTTTTCCCTTGCTGACTCCCACTCACTCTTCACAGTCAGCTCCCCAGTCCTCTCCCTGGGCAGCTTTCCCAGCCTGCAGATCGTGACAGCCCCCTGGTACCCGTCTCTGTAGCGCCCTCACTGCTCCTCAGAGCACTCACGGAACCTGGAATCGGGTCTTTCATGGTGTGCTTACCCATTTCACGTCACCCTTAGCTTGCAACACAGGCGGGTTTCTCATGGTCCCTGCTGGACCGCGTCTTCTCACTCCTGATGAGCCCAGGGCATGCACTTCATCAGTGTATGTCGAATAAGGAGTAAATTAATGTAAAAGCCACAGCTATTGTTTCTATCAATAGAGATTTAAGTTCAGGCACAAACAGCTAGGAGGATTTAAATGTCTGTTCATACCCATATGCTGAGAATGTTGGAAAGATGGTTTTATTGGCCCCTAAAATGTAACCACCCCCAGACTTGCCCCCCAAGTCACTGGCAGTGGACGGTTCAGGGCAGCTCTGAAGTGAACAGCAACAGCAGTGACACTGGCTGTGTGTTGGGAGCCACCTCAGCCCCGAATAAGTGCAGAATGTTTTTCAATGAAACATCATATTTGGATGTAAGAACCTAGAGTATCAAAGATTCATGTGGAGCCAAGATTCATTCATCAACAGACATTTCTTCAGAGCCGACTACGTGCCAGGGGTTGGCACAGTCCGAGATTCAGGCTGTGGACAGAGGACCTGCCTTTGCCAGGCTGAAGCCAGAAGGAAAATCGGGGTCAGCAGACCCGACCCTCGGCCCTGGACCAAAGGGAAGGGAAGACGTCTCCTCCTATGGGATGTGTGGTCTCTGAGCGCAGCTCTGTCTGCAAAGAGGCACAGGCTGACCCTGTCTGCATAGCCCCGGAGACTCCAGGCATTCTGCTGGGTGCCTGGGCCAGTACCCCTGTTCCCTGGGGCCAGTGTTCCAACAGCTGTGGAGGTAGGATGGGCAAAAGGACCTCATGGAGACAGGCTCGCCACCTTTCTTGCTGGCACCTGCCCCTTCCACGGGATGTCACTGCATGGCCTGTACGTGGCCAGCATCTGCCAAGGGTCACTTTAGGGTCAAGTACAAATCATGGCTCAAAGCAAGCCCCTCCCTGCTGCCAGATTGTGGTTGGGGTATCCTATGGGGTGTGTGTGTGTGTGTGTGTGTGTGTGTGTGTGTGTCTGTGTGTCTGTGTCTGTCAGGGTGGGGAGGGTGCGAGGTAGGGCCGTGGGGAGGTTCGTGGGAAGAAAATGGTGAGCTCCTTGTGAGAAGAGGGCCTGGCTTTCCCCCCAGCTCCCCAAGACACGGCCTTTCTCCCGCTTTAGACCAGAGTCCCCAAGGGCCTTAACCAGGAAGACAACCAGCAGTGAGATAGCCAGCCAGCCTCCCTGGGGCTGGTGTCCCCATCCCACCTGGCCAGAATCTTGGGTCAGTGGCCTGGGATCTTCAGCCACCGTGCTGACGTGCTGAGGCCTGAGTCCTCACCCAGCTATGCCCTGCCAGAGCAGGGAGGGCTCTGAAGGACACAGACAGCTCTTCCTCTGTCAGGACAGTGGGGCCATTTATCAGGGAGATAAGCAGTAGCCAGAGGACAGAGTTGGCGGAAGGAGCTGTCTGGGGGAGATAACTTAGGGTCATTTGGAGGGCACAGAAGGCCCCATGTCCCCCTGCCTTGGCCACCCAGGCCCCGCCCCTATGCCTGCTGGCCAGGACATCTGGCTGTCTTATTCGTGGAAAAACCTGACACCCTTCGGGCTGAGGAGCTGGGCTTCTGTTGAGCGTGGAGTGTGTTTCCTCTTCATATTCTGTGCCATGGCCAGGCCCCATGAGCCTGCCTCACCCATTCACAGATGGGGAAACTGAGGCCCAGGGAATGGGCTTTGGGCTGCTCTTGTCAGAGGGAGCAAGCCCTGCCTTCAGCCTCCTGCACAGGGTGGGAAGGGAAACCGACATGGCTCTGCATCACTGGGCACTTACTCTGTCCAGGTGCCTGTCTGCATGGCCTGTGTCCTGTCCCCTCTACCCTGGGGACCAGGCATTGCCTTCGCCTCATTTTCCAGAGAAAGGCAATGCCCAGAGCGCTGAGGGCACCAGCCCAATGCTGAACCGCTGGGAAGTGGCTCAATTAGGGTCTGAACGCAGGGCTCTCAGAGCACTGTCTACCCAGAGGGGTTCTGGGTGCCCGGCAGAGGCCACCTCTGGGATCCCTCTGCCAGCTAAAAGCTGACACCCCCAAACTGTTAGAAACCCCTAGGCTGACCTCACCTCCCTACCTGCACTCAGCAGGGCTAAATAAATATTTTGAAGAAATTAAGAAATCAAAAATGAATAAACACATGAGCATAAATCATGACATTTCCCCTTTATGAGCCCCTGGAGGTGATCAGGCCCTCTCTCGGGGCTGTGCACACTGGTCTTGCTATCTCCCTGCCTGGGCCACGTCTATCCACCACCTGCTGGGTCCTCAGGGTGGTCCCATCTGAAGAGATGGTGCCCACCTTAGGAGCCGAGAGAAGAACCCAGGCCTTGGGCTACAGAGACAGGAAGGAGGAGGAGGAGGCAGAGGGAGCGAGGAGACCCCTCTCCTGGGCTGGAAGATGGACTCATCACGGCCCCGCCGTGGGCACTCTTGCAACCCTGCAACCCTTGCCATTGGGATCATGAAGGGTTGGTGTGTTCAGGGTGTGGCAGGGACCAGGCCTGGTTGTGGGAATGAACCCTGGATCTCCTTTCTCTGCCCTGGTGTCCAGGGCAGTGGATTTGACCCAGAACTAGCCAGAGGCTTTTCTGGGAAGTATTTGCTACATGAAATGTAGGAGGGGGCACCCTGGGAGCCTTGAATTCATCAGGCAGGCACGGGAGCCTGGGAGGCTTTTGAGAGCCTTTTTACTCGTGACCATCTTCAGGGGTTCTGGGTACTCTTCAGCCTGGGCCATGCTGGGCAGGGAGGGGTGTCTGAGTTGTGCAGGGAAGGGGCCCTGGACATGGGGAAGGAGCCAGTGAACGTGGCAGTCGTGTAGAAAGGAGCCGCCAGGGGCTGCTGAGGAGGGGAGGGGACAGACAGGCACAGCCATGTCAGCCCCACCACCACATTCCCCTATAAGCCCCCTACCCTGGAGGGGCCCTCCCTTGGATTTGGCTAGAGGCATTGGCACCTGAGGTGTGGAAAGCTTTTTATCCTAGGACACTGATTGGGTCACCTCATGGCAAGCCAAGGGAAGATACAGACAGACCTCCAATCCTCAGGAGATAAGCACGGGGCTGCCTCTGAACTTGTTCTATAGGTGGAAGCTGCTGGGTTAATCATGGAGGCCAGCCAGGAGGAGGGCCCCATATTGGCTGTTTCTCTGCTTGCTGTGGGGTGGGGCAAGGAATTCATTCATACTCTGAGACTTCTCTGGGAGCCTGGCCAGCTCCGATGTGCAGGCTGGAGAGAAGTTGTTGGTCCTCCTAGGCAGAGACTCAGCGGGGAGGCAAGGGCGACAATGATGTCCCAGGGACAGCCTAGGGCTGAAGAAGTCTCCATCCCTGGCCTCCTGGAGCCTGCCTGCTTCTTCCTGAGCTGCGATAGTGCCTGTCTTGTGCCTACCAGGCTAGTGAGTAGTGAGGATCAGGGTCTCCTGGGAGCCCTGACAGCAGGATTTGGGGGCTTAGGAGAGGCGTCTGCTCAGAACAGACCAGGGACCTCAGTTCCTGTTCTGTCTCCCTTCCTAGCAGGGTGGGAGGTTATCTGGACCAGTTCCACTCTGGGATCTCAACAAGCTGGTCCAGCACCTGCCCCGCTTGATCTGCCTCCTTCCTGTTCCTCTAGCCTGGACAGACCCCACGCCCTTTAACCCCCTCATTCCTGCCCCTAGCCTGTAGCTGCAACAGGCTGCCCCCTCAAGACAGCATCTGCTCACATCCCCCACTCCCATCACTCCTTCCTGAGAACAGGTTGTGTCTCAGCCTTTCTGAGCCTCAGTTTCTTCTTCTGTAAGATGGGGGAAATGACGCCTATCTCTTGGGCTTTTTGTGAAGATCCAGTGAGACTGAGCATCCAGAATGCTTCCTACAGGGTCTGTAGAGAGCAAAGCCACACTAAATGGGGTGTTCTCATTACCACGCCCGGCCCTGCACTGCCCATCTAAACCTCTGGGGTACCTGTTTGACAGTCCTTATTTTCCCAATGAGGAATCTGGGGCTTTGCAGGCTAGTTAGCAGTGTGCCCAAAGTCACACAGCTGCAGGTGGCAGAGGTGTCCTGCACCTGCAGGAATAACTCCACTATGATGACCTGTTCACCCCACACAGAGAGGGTATCTGTGGCCCTCAGCAGAGGGCAGCTTGTTTCTCACGGGATTATCTCTTTTTTTTTTCTTTTTATTGAAGTATAGTTGATTTACAATGTTGTGTTAGTTTCTGGTGTAAAGCAAAGTAATTCAGTTATACATATATATTCTTTTCCATTATGATTTATTACCGGATATTGAATATAGTTCCCTGTGCTATACAGTAGAACCATGTCTTCTACCTAGTTTATATATAGTAGTTTGTATCTGCTAATCCCAAACTCCTAATTTCTCCCTCCCCCACCCTTTTTCCCCTTTGGCAACCATAAGTTTGTTTCTGTTTTCTAAATAAGTGTATTTGTGTCATATTTTAGATTCCACATATAAGTGATATCGTACGATATTTGTCTCTTTCTGACTTACTTCACTTAGTGTGATAATCTCTGGGTCCATTTATGTTGCTGCAAATGGCGTTATTTCATTCCTTTTTTAAGGCTGAGTATTATTCCGTTGTACATATTGCATGGGGTTTTCTGTGCTGCATCTCAGGACGTCTGAGCTACTGGACACTGAGCACATCCGAGTGGGCTCTGAGCGCAGGCGGGTGAGCTGGGCTCTGCAGGAGCCTCCCTCCCCCCAGCACCTCTCTCCCAGGTGGGACAGGAGTGGGTGGCCACAGCTGAATTCACTCCGGGTCTCTCTGGGCGGGTGGAGCCGACGCTTCAGCGGCACGAGCAGCGTGGAGAGGCGGGCCCAGCCTGGCCTGGAGCCGGGTAGCTGGGTAGGTGCCGGGCGGTGGATTCTGCTGCTCCACTTTGGCGTTCCGGGCACATCCCAAGGCTGCAGCAGAGGCTGCAGGGCAAAGCCAGGGTCTAGGCTGTGTGGCTGGGAGAGGCCGGAGCAGATCCTCCCCCAGCACCGTCTGCAGCACCAACCAGAGGGCCTAAGGGTCCCCCGCCTGGCCTGCCCCTTGCTCGCGCCTCCGAGGGCTCCCTCCGGACCGCCTGCAGGATCACAGCTCAGCTTCCTAGCTCAGCGCCTTAACCTCCCGGTAAGTCTCTGTTCCGTGGTCCAAATGACGGAGAGAAAAACCGCATCTCATGAGGCTGAAATAAGGGGGTGTGTGCCTGGGACACAGCCCGCCTCCTTGGAGTTTCCCCTTCCCTCACTCAGCTGGCCTGTGAGCTCCTGGGAGGCAGGCAGCCTTTCGCATGAGGCCTGCGGGGCAGGTGGATTAGTTACCTCTTCACTGTGCTGTGATCGTGGCCCAGCAGCTTGTGTTTCTGTCTCTTGGACGCACACGGGACACCCAGGCCAAGTTCCACTTGCCTCCTGTTTGAAAAACAAAGGTTTGCAGGCAGCAGGGCCTGGAGCCAGGGGAGGGACAAATGACCCCCCAGGCCTCTGCAGCCCTGACCTTCCGGGCCTAGACAGGTGTGTTCGGGTGTTGCAGGCTAATGCTGCGTTGAGGTTATGACCCATTAGATGGGTCCCTGGTGGGCCGTGCTGTCAGGGTGCCCACTAGCCTGTCCTGGAGAAGGACCTCAGCCTCATACCTTCTCAGAGGTGCTTGGAATTTAGCAGGGGGAGGGGAACCAGCGCTGTGCGGAGGAGAGCCTGTCCCCACCCCAGCCCTAATCGAGATCCACAGGGAGGGTAGAGGCTTCTCATGGTTGCAGGAGAGAGAAACCTCACATCCCAGGACCTGCAGGAGTCCTTTGGACAGACCACCAAGTGAGGGTCCTTGGCTTGTTGCAGGAAGGAATTCAAGAGAGAGCCAGAGAAAAGCAAAGGTGGGTTTATTTAGAGGGATACACACTCCATAGGCAGAAGGCGGACCATCTCACAAAGTGGGAGTGGCCTGGGGCATGGGGGTCATAGGTTTTTAGGGGCTAAATAATTTCATATACTAACAAATGGGAGGAATGTTCTTGCTATTTTGGTGAAACAAGGAGTGTTTTCCAGGCATTGGGTGACTACTCATTTTTTTGGTCTTTTATGGTCCATCTTGGAAGAGTCTTGGTGTAAGGAGGAGTCATTTTGAGTGTCATAATGAAGGTATAATGAGCTAAAAGTCAATGACCAGACTATTCTAAAAGCCACCTTGATTTCAGCTGGTTCTGGACAGACTTTATCGCATCCCAACAGTGGTGCCCCTTCTTCGTTTATCTAACCTTTGTGTCCATCCCCTTTCCCTCCTGCCTCATTCCTGCCTCAGAGATTTTACTCTCATTATTTTTATGGGAAGCAGATGGGTGACTGTCTTGTGTAGCTGCTTCAGGGCTGAGTAGGGACATGGACCCTGTCAGGGAGTAGAAAATCTTTGGATGCCTGGTCTAGGGTCCCAGGGGCAGGATGGCTTCTGTTTTAAATCAGAGGGCGGAATGGGCTGGAATTCTCGTGTAGCCTTCACTTTGACATGGAACTGTTGTAACCTGGAAGATGTGAACTTTACCAAGAGGTTAAAGAGGCAGGGTCCAAAGACGAGGAGAAGGAGCATGATCATTCCTGGGCCCAGGAGGGGCAGGATCCAAGTAAGGCTAGGGATGGTGCTCTGACTGGTGGACCAGATGGTATTAGGGTCTGCTCCCTGGTTGTAGTGGTGTAACCATGATGCCTGTTCATAAATCTTTTTGATGTCCATCTGCATCTGGCCCGAATTGTTGACATAGAATACGGCAGGTTTTGTTTCTGACCTCACAAACGCCACCTTGCTTGGCCAGCAATTAATCTAAGGCCAGTCTATTGTCTATGATCGCATTGGCCAGTGAGTTTAAAGAAGTTAGAAGTCTGTTTCGGGCTTTTCCAGTAATCAGGGCTAGTGTCTCCAAAGTGCTGATTAGATTTCTAGGGTTACCGCCTAGTAGGCAAAGCCTCCCCATGGAGCTGCTCATCCCCCTGCCCGTCCTATTCCTGCCAGTGTTAATCTGATGGCCCTCCTGGGACAATATTTAGTGTTATTATGATTGTGAATGGGCTCAAATGTCCTAATGTACAGGCTCCCTCGTGCCACACATTATTGATATAAGGCTAAGCATTTACATAGGGGCCACATTTGCCCTGGGGTGCCCTTGTCTTTGGGCCCTGATTGTGGGGAGTGCCACATGTCCAGACATATCCTGAAGGTGCAATAAGAGATCTGGGAAAAGAACAGTTCATCAAGGAAGCAGCTGTTTGCAAGCTCAGAAGAGACAATTTAGAATATAATAATGTGGGGAAAAGGGCCCTTTAATATTTGCAAAGTGGTTAAGTTGGGGAATATTCCACGTCCTCTGCTTAGATGAGATGGTGTAGTATGAAGGTTTTACTTACCACTTCCATGGAGCCCGACCACTTGTAGCCCAATTTTTAGTCCATTCCATCCCTATTCCCTTAGGCACCTTGGGTCTGGGCTTCATTATAAGCACACCTTTTGGAGGCATTTGTGGGAATGTATTTTGGGTCTGGGTTCAAAAACACTGTGGCAATATTACCACCCAGGGGCCAGGGATCATTCCAAAGAGGCTTACCACAGCCAAGAGAACCATTAGAGGTACAGTGGCGTCAGAAGCATGACTGGTTTTCTGGATAACAGAAGTAGCCATGATTAATGCAAAAGTTTTAAGTAACCTTGTTTAAAAGAGTTAAATGCAGGCAAGGAATGAGGCCTGACGGGGGTATTACCCATGGCACTAGTATCGGTGATGGGGGGGTGGAGGTGGGCTTCCGTGTGTTTGATTGATAAGCTCTGGTCGTGTGTACCTATTTGTACCTGCAATGATTGCTATAAGTCAGGGGTTTTATGACAGACACAACAATTAACTAGGTTTTCTCCCCAGGCGACTCTTTTAGATACGTGTACTACAGCATTATTGCCCATTCCCCCTGAGCCGCCACCATCATCATCATCATAAGTCCTACTGGGACTATTATGGCTTTTGACATCATATTACTGTACCTTTTCTTTTCAGACCCAGCAGGGACAAAGAAGATGTTTACCAAGGGGAGGGGGTTCTGGAAAGCAGCAGAGTAAGGGCATGATAGAAACACAAGAAGTAGGAGGCCAACCCACCACGGCCACGTGAAATCACTTATCTGTTCTCATGAACAGGTATCTGAGGTCTTCCACTGGCTCCCAGGAGTGGGTCGCCTCTGGTTCCTGTTGGGGCTTACAAGATACAGGTTTTATTCTAGACAGACGTACCCAACCAGTAACTCCCTTGACAGCAGTTGGGGTACTCAGTAACACTTCATACGGTCCCTTCCATTTTGGTGGTAGCTGGTCTTCAGGGGACCCTTCCTTCCAAGTTTTAGTAGGACAGAGTCCCCTGACTGGATAGAGAAGACCTTTTCTTTTGTGAGGTGGGCAGCACTTTGCTTCCACATTCTTGGAGGGCCCTTTGAACTTGGCTCAAGCTAACAGTGGGAGACCAGTTGGTGGGTTTCTTCATCAAACACGAGGTCTGAAGTCAAGGGCCACCTATCAGTCATTTCAAATAAAGTTTTAAAATTCCCCTGGGGACCATCCTGTTCTGCAGAGGGGCTATGGGGGGCAGGGGTGGAGACCCAGGTTTTTGAAGTCTCTTGGCACAGCTTAGCAAGCGTTCTTTGTAGAACATGATTGGCTTTTTCTACCTTGCCTGAGGATGAGGGCCTCCAGAAAGAGCTGAGGCGGTAGTTAATACCCAGAGCCTGGGTCACCTCGGCAGTGAAGGAAGGTCCATTATCACTCTGTAGGCTTTTTAGTAAGCCAAATCTTGGAATTTTCTCTTTAAGCAGAAATTTGGACACTTCTGTTGCCTTTTCAGTCCTAGTAGGGAAAGCTTCTATCCGTCCTGTAAAGGTGTCTGTGAACACCAATAGGTTTTTCCATCCCCTCTGTGGTGGCATCTGGGTCAAGTCCATCTGCCAGTCTTCCCCGGGATAGGTTCCTCGATGTTGAATGGGCTGACTTAGGGGTGGGGTTATGGGATGGCTTCTTGGGTCATTGTGGGCACAAAGTTTGCAGGCCCTGGTGACATTCTTACCAGTTTGGGACAGTCCTCACCCAGGAACACCTGGGTAACCAGTTTGAATAGGGAGTCTCACCCTAAGTGGGAGGATTCGTGGAGGTGCTTAATTATTTTCCATTGCTCGGCCCCTAGAATAAGAAGCTTGTTATCTCTTGTCAGCCACCCTGAGAGGTCTCTGTCCAGGCCCCAGTGTTTAGCCCACTGGGTTTCTTCAAGCGTATAGGACGGCGGCGTTGGGAAGGGGGGACTGTCGGGTTTGAGAGCTGCAGCTGGTGGGACGGCTGTTCTTGGGCTGCAGGCTGCCCGGCCTTGTGGACTAGGGCGTTTCCCCTTACGAGAGAAATGTTGCCCCTTCGGTGACCCCTGCAATGAATGACTGACTGCAAACTCCTTTGGAAGCTGGACTGCTTCTACTTCTAGAATTTCTGCCTGGTTGTTTTATAGGGGACCCTGTGGCCGTTAGCTGTCCCCTGTGTTTCCCCTTGGCAGCAGGGCACAGAGCACTGAGAATCCATACTTAAGATCAGGATATATATATTGGTTCTAATGCCTTTCCTGGCTGCAGTGC